TACTGTATCATATTTTTTCTCTTTCAGCCTTGCACATGCCGCGCTTCCTATCTCTTCTCTTTCTTTTTCTTGTTTGTCGTGCTTCGCTCCTTCCAACCTCACCACTGGCGGGGAGTACTGTAGCGACCTGACTCACTACTGTCATTTCGTCATTTCTACATAAGCATGCGCAGGAAATCAAAACAATCTCTCTGGTTTCAACTTCTTTGTTGTCCGGCTTGCCAAAGTAGCCGTCGACTAAGGCCCGATGTAAAGCCCTAAACTTTCGATTTAAGTACAAACAACCTAAAAATTGAGAAGGTAAAACAATTAGGTGAAACATTTAGGAGAAGATTTAGGTGAAACTTTGCTAAATATACAATTTAAACAAACAGCGAGGAGGCAATAATTTGATAACAGCAATCAGCAAGACAAGCTGAATCGACATTTTAACAATCCATGCGAGAGCAATCATGAATGAGTGTGCTAATAATAAACTTGCAAATGAAAATTGAACAAACAAAAGAAAGTAAAAAGGAAAGACAAAGTAAAAAGGAACAGGACATATGGAAACGAGTTAAGAGTAACTCTCCACCACTGTAACTAGATACTATATACAGTCAGAAAGTGCAACAACTAGGCACAAAACTGACAGAGTACTGAGACATTCGACGTCCTGACACCTAGCTTCAACACATCTCCGTAGCGCTAACCGACAGCCTTAACTTAACTTAAGCCTTACTCTTAACTCGTTTCCATATGTTCTTTTCCTTTTTACTTTTATTATTGGCTCAATACCCGAGTTTCAAATTGCACACCTGATGAGCCGTCACGAACCATACGGCGAAACGTACGTCGTGTGAAACAACTTGTTTTGTAGTCAACTAGTCCATCACAATGTCATGCATGAGGAGTACTGTAGGAGTTTAGATTTCGGCTTGTACAATTCGTTCTCGCAAAGCTTCCCCCTTCTCAACTTATCTTTGATATTTTTGACCCACCCAAGTTGGGTGGTGTGCTGCTTTGCTGCTTCGAATTGTAGTTAGACCGCTTTGTCAAATCGCCTACTGGTCTCGTCATCGTCCAGTGACAATCGACATTCTTTGTTCCGTTGGGACTGTAGCTTGTGCTCGTTTTCGTTGCGCTTGCCTTCCCCTCTTTGGTCTTTCCATAACCTTGAACCTTCCAAGTTGGAAGGCTGTCGGTTAGCGCTACGGAGATGTGTTGAAGCTAGGTGTCAGGACGTCGAATGTCTCAGTACTCTGTCAGTTTTGTGCCTAGTTGTTGCACTTTCTGACTGTATATAGTATCTAGTTACAGTGGTGGAGAGTTACTCTTAACTCGTTTCCATATGTCCTTTTCCTTTTTACTTTTATTATTGGCTC